GACATATGCCATGTTGGGAGTGAAAACGCAGTTATTAATTTTGGAAAATGGTATGTAATTGAATAAAATAATTTGAATTTGGCTATTTGATTCTGCAAAGGAGTTGAAGTTGACAGAAGTCTGCGTTGCTGTCTTGGGATATAATTAAGGATAATTATATACTTTATCTGGGAAGTACATGCCAGTTGTTCAGTCAGGATACAAACAGATTCGACCCGAGGCAAGTCAAGTTTCCTGCTTTCTACGCTCCTTTTTTCATCTGGCAGAATTACTTTCGCAGTATTTTTCTTTGGCTGTTAATGCTGCGTAAGGATGTTGCCAGTCGAGTTGCTCCGAGTTGCTCTGTGTTGCTCTGTATTCATTATTTATACGCAGGTCCTGGCAGTCAGAGGCTTTTTGCATTGTGTCTGGGCTAATAAAAACGCAGCAGCATCAGCAGTAGGAGCAAGTTGTATTTTCTAGTTGAATTGAATGCCTGCGGTTAGCTGCAACGTCGTCTTCAGGACGCAGGAATTGCTCCTGGCCAGCAGGACTCTTCCTTGTGCTGCTGACTTCTCTTCCCTCGTATTCTGCTGCCTGCAAAAAGTTTGTCCTCTGGTCAGCAGTGCGTTTTGACCACGTCCATGTCTGCATCTTGTGCTGCCAATGAATTGAATTGTTGCCTTGTATTTTGTTTTTTGCTCTCCGCTTTTCGTTATGTGCTTTTGTTTATGCAGGCGGAGCATAAATTTTCTAAGGTTTTAGTTTGCGGAAAATTAATTTTTTTCTTGTGTGTGTTTGTATGTGTAAAGGAGCCTTGCTGCTTTTGCTGTATTTGCTTTTATTATGTTTTATGTGCCGCACAGACAGGAATGAAAAGGCCAACGGGAATGCAGAAAGTCCGAGGAAAAAACCAACTGCAAGTAAATTAAAGTATTCTTTTGCTCGCCTGTCTGTCGGCTTAAATAGCCGGCAAAGTGTTTTCGTTGTCAGCTCAATTGCTCCGGAACGAGTCAAAGATCAAAGATCCAAAAATAGAGATTCAGTACGAGTAAAAGTTACAAATTACATTAAAAGATGCAAATTGAATAAAACCAGAGAACACCTTCAAGGGAAATGTTTTTAAATGTTATGGAACTTCTCCTATTAGCCATTTGGTTTCAATTCAAGTGCGCGGTAATTAAAATGCAATTGTTCGCCGTCCTTTTGTTGGGCTAATGAGCAATTATGAGCCATCAATTGGCAGTGGCATACAAGCCTGCCGAGCTGCTAAAACAAAGAAAATCCGCCAAAATGAACATTTTAAGTGGCTTCAGAGGACACGTGCACACACCTACGCAGGTGAACAGCAGCGTTCAATATGTCAGAAGTTACTTTGTGATTTCCTACTCTGAACTTGAAAAGTGCAGATACTAACACTTGGCTATATCTGTAAGCTTTCAACAGGTGGGAAAGGTGGGAAAAATGCCCATTGCGCCTGCTTCTAGAATTCTGGACACTGCTGTGCGCATAAAGAGGCGCCTCCGCGCTGCAATTCAAAAAGCGGCGACAACTGTGAATGGCTTTTGTCGATGGACCAGGTGGCACGGTTGCCGGGCAACAATCGCACGTTGGTCCTGGGCAGGAGTCTAATCGGAAGTGGTGATTTCCCATCCTCGTTTGGCTGCTCTGCTAACTTCCGATGGAGGCCGACATTAACGGGCACATTAGGTGCATATGTGCGAATTTTCTAATTAAAATTTTTGGCAACTCATTTTCCGTGGCCGAGGCAGCGGCGAGCAGGTGCAAATCGCACAATGGGTTGGCTGAGGCGTTAAAGCGAGTGAGAAATCAGTAGTTAACACCAGTTTGTGAGTGCTCTGGGAAGTGAAATTAAAATGCACGTGGGGAGCATCGTGGGGAACAATAAAAGACTGCGATAAACTATAATTGCAGGTGGGTCTCACTTGTGATAAGCACATCCTGCTTTATAGCAGGTAAGTAGTGCTGCATGCAACTAAACACATATGGGCTTGCTGAAATAAATGGGTAGATCCTAAGCTTCAATCCTTTAATGAACTCTGGTAAACAGTCAACTGTGCAGTGGAATAAAACATAAATGGCTGTTAGGAAGGGCAAACTTGGAGCTAGTCTAGCATCTAAGAAGATTTTCTTTTGGGATTCATAGAATCAAATAAGAATTAGCGGGTTTAAAACCCCATCTAAAATACATAAGTAGTAGTTTCTTCTATTGCCATAAAAGACATTAGAACAACGCTTAAATTAAATGCTCTTTATGTGACTTGGGGGACCACACACATGCAGTTTGGATGGAGGGTCCTTTTCATCCGGCTGACTCCATTAAGCAGATGCGTAGTTTCCTCAGGGTTAAGTGTTGGCCCGCCACGCCTCCCGCCCCCTGCTCCTTACACCGATTTGGGCCCATAGCGAAACGCTTTCGAATCGAGTGTGTAATTGGTTTTGTGGCCAGCACACACAAACACAAGCTGGCGACTTGGAAAGTGCAGTAAAATAGGACCTCCGTTTTCCAGGACATTCATTATGCATATGGGTGTGTGAGTTTGTCTACGGACAAGTGTGAGTGTGCGTACATGTGGGCAGACAAAAACACTTGAGAGCATCTATAAGGCGCTCTAATTAATTGTTAATGAGTCATTTGGACGGATTATTAGTGCTGTAACGATTTGTAATGACGCCTAAAACACATCTCTCACTTGTGAATTATTAAATGCCACGTTGCATAATTCCATTTGAATTATTCAGCCAGTCCTCGAATCAGCTGTACTGCCGATTACCACCTTCATTATAATTTGCATACATCGCAGCTAAAAGGGATTTTGAGATAATTAATTTAATTACATGCTTAATGACGTTCGAGTCGTGAGTTTAAAGGTACGACGTTTAAAACACTTAAATGATATCTAAATCTGTTAGCATCATCTTAAGCAATTCAATTTAAATCTTACTTACATAAGTTCAGATTTTGTTAATTTGAGTGACATACATTTACTTTTTACTTGATGCGTTGACTAAAGGATTTTAATAATGTCCTTACTCTGAAGGATATCAAGTTTACTTCCTTTCAGGTTGTTTTCTTGTTGTACTTTTCTCAACTTTCACTCTTGATTCTTATCTAACTGTCAACCATTTTGCGGTAAATTAAATTAAATCATAATTTCAATTACCAGAAAATCGACCACAAAAGCGACCAACGGTCATTACTCTGGCCAAAAGAGCCCCCTTTTTTTACCCACCCATCTCGCCATCTCGCCATCCCGCTCAATTCATTAACACTTCAAAGTTTTCTGCCCCAGTCGAAAGGGAATAGAAAGAGATGGGGAGTTGTCGGGCGAAAGAGAGGGGGATAGCACGCAACAACACTCGAGGCGTTCGTTAATTTGTTAGATGAACAACAAGCTGCTGTCGCATCTCTAAGGTTTTTGCGCGGAGACCTCCACTCCAAACATTTCCTACAGAAAAAATTTCTCAGCCTCCGGGCAAACGGCAAACAATAAATAAGCGCAAAAGAGCAAGGGCTACTGTGCGAGCGGGATGGCGCGCTGTACGTACGTACCTACGTATATATAGAGCACACCACAACCGGAAGAAACTATTGTTCCGGAAAAGTATGCCCAGCTAGTTGCGGATGATGTTGGCGGAGGAAAAAAAGCAAAAATGATTTCGCACAAACTTTTCTGTTTAGTCAATCATTTTAATTAAGTAATTTTTTTCGCCTACTTGTCGTAAAAGTTTTAATAGACGGCCGGCGGAATGGAGTCTCTAGCTAGCTGGGGGAAAAAAAACTCGTAACTGCATTTTGCGGTTAATTATAATGTTGGGCCTGATTACATTTGCCAAGTCTCTAGCTCCCCGGCCGCGTCTGGTGACTTTCAGCTAATTGCCGAGATTTGAAGTTAGTTAAATGTGGACCAAGTTGCTTGCAGCAGAATAGCCCTGTTTTGCTCCCAAGACGAGTTTAGGTCATGAAAGGGCCATAAAAAACTTTTGCACCTCTTCAGCTAACGCTGGTTTGTTGCACATTTCTGCCGGCCGTGTAATTAATTTAGTTTATTCTTGAATCACAAGAATTTAAGTGAAATCAATGAATCCAGCTGCGGCAGGCAAAATCCGAGTTTTTCACTCAGCCTGGCGAACTATCTCCACCGCCCCGGAACTTCCGTCCGCCGATGTTGGGAAACTTTTAGTCCCGGCCACGAATCGAAGTTTAAGCCACCACCCACCTGGTGGATGCACCTTGCATGTTAAGTGCCGCCCGTCACCGCCATCACCGCCATTCCGCCCACTTGTCCTGCAGCCATACGCTTGATTCCCCAACTAAGCACGCAAATGAAGCGTGTGCCCATCAAGGATGCGACTCTATCTCTCTGCGGTTGCACATGGCAGTTGTACGAGTACGGCTGCGATGCGTATATATCCGCCTGGCCAGACGGATAGACGCAACAAGGAGCAGGACTCGTGGCACGTGGAGACAACCGCAGAGAAACGGCAAGGATATTGCAAATGGAGCGGGAGCAGTCAGGGTGCAGAGATGGGCAAAAGTGAACGGAGCTCAAGCCGTGTTTAATCGTGGAAATTATGCAATTGCCGTGCAACTGCCATGGACTGGGTCCCAACTGGCACAGTGGTTCGAAACTATTTGAAATCGAACGAATCCAGAAGACTACGGATCTTCGCTATTTCCTGAGAGTAACAAATGATTCAGGATATTAGACCGCATCTACTCGAATCAACTTGCAAGTCCGTTTTTCTAAAGCTGCAATGGCGTCCTAAGACATCCTTTTTAGAACAGTCCCAGCAAATCTGGCCCAACTCACCTGATAATTTGGCAGCGCCAGCCGGCGCCAAAGTTCATTAAAAGCGCTGTCCATAGAAGTGGCCAGAAGGCATGTGTATGTGGGTATGGAGAACGTGTTGAACTAATTAGCAGATCGAACATCTAGTTCTAGCACCTCCCGAGTGCCGACTGTATATATAGGCCGGGCCACTCTCGCCGCAACTCAGTTGATGTGTACGGAAGTTGTGTTTTGTCCCATCGAACGGCTAAAAGGAATCCAGAACCCAGAACCCAGAGAAAGCCAAATGGCGGCCACCAAGTACGACAGCTTCGAGAAGATATGGTCTGGGCCAAAGGACAAGGAGTATTACGGTCCGGATATGAGCCTGGGCGAAGTGGCACTGATCATCCTGCGTCTCTACTCGGACAAGGTGATGCAGGTGTATGATCCCACGGGCGAGGAGCTCACTGGTGGTCAGTTGCTGGAGCAGAGTCGTCGGTTGGCCCACGCCTTTCAACGATTGAAGCTGCAACGCGGCGATGTGGTCGGCATTTCGGCCAAGAACAGCACGTATCTTACTGAAGTGGTCATCGCGGCCCTGCTGAATGGAACACCCATCAACCCACTGCATCCGGACTTTGATGCCGGTAGGTGAAACCAGATATAAAATTGCATAACTTGTGAAATGTTCAACTTTGTGCCCAGAAACCACGGCCTACATGTTCGAGATCACCAAGCCCAAGGTGATCTTCTGCGACCTGGACAACTACCAGACCTTGAGCGCGGTCAAAAGCAGCATCAAGTTCAAGACGGAGATTATCCTGCTCACTGGAACTCTGCCCGGAGTGCGTAACATTCAGGATCTGCTCGCAGATGGCTGCACTGGATACGATGAGAAAACCCTGTAGGTAGATCTTAAGCAGAAGTTCAAAATAAGAACCCTCAAGCCAGTTCTGATCCTGCAGCTTTGCCTGCCCGCATTTGAGTGGCGATGATACGGCCTTCATCATAACCTCCTCCGGTGTAACCGGTTTGCCAAAGGGCGTAACCCGTTCGCATCGCAGTTTGCTGAACAGTGCCAAAATGTGAGTAAAATGTGGCCATGCCATTTCAAAACTATGACCCCTATAGGATATTTAACAGCCCCCAGCTCTTCACCTCGGATACAGTTCTGTTCTGCATCAGTCCGCTCTATTGGATCAGCTGCATCTTCACCCTGCTGGCTTCGCTGGTCAATGGATGTCGCAGGATCATCACCAATCGTCCTTTCAGCGTGGAGTACGTTGCAGACCTCGTGGAACGGCACCAGGTCAGCTTCGTGCTCACAGTGCCCCACCAGATGGCTCTGCTGGCCAAGAGCCCGGAGAGACAGGAGCTGGCAGCCAAGATGCAGTCCGTCCAGTCCTTCGTGTGCAGTGGCTCAAAGGTTCCGCTGGGCATCTGGCGGCAATTGTACGAGCTACTGGGTGCGAACAGATTTTCCGTGCTCTACGGTCTCACCGAGATCGGAGGAATCTCCAAGAACGTGGGAGGTCCACTGGGCAGTGAGGGCAAGCTGCTGCGAAATGTCCAGGTGCGTCTGGTGGACCCACACGGTCAGTCCTTGGGCCCCAACCAGACGGGCCAGATCCTGGTGAGGCTCAACCTTCGCTGGGGCGGCTACTATCACAATCCGCAGGAGACCCAGGTGTCCGTCACGCCTGATGGAAAGTGGCTGCTCACCGGCGATCATGGATACTTTGACGATGAGGGATGCCTGCACTACCAGTCCCGGGACACCGATGTCTTCAAGTACAATCACTTTCCCATTTATCCTAAGCAGATCGAGGACGTTATCCTCCATCTGCCCGGAGTCCACGAAGTGGCTGTCTTCGGAATACCCGACGAGGTGTCCACCAATCTCACTGCCTGCGCCGTGGTCCGGGATGAGAACGAGCTGGGTGCTCAGCTCACCGAGGCGGATGTCAAGGAAGTTGTGGCCCAACATCTGAGCGATGCCTTCCACATTCGCGGAGGAGTCTTCTTTGTGGACACTCTGCCAAAGACGCAGAACAGTAAGGTGCAGCGCAGGAAAATCTGGTCGCAGTTGAGTGAGGCAACCACGCATCTGTGAGATAAGATTCTTGTAAACTTGCTTGTGTTTCATAAATATAAACACAGTGAATCACCAGAAGAACTGTCAATAAAATTAAAAAGTTTCCATGTTTGCTGGACTGCTGGCTTTGATTAGCGGGATGCAGAAGCGGGTCCGACATGCCAATGAGTAAATCAGTAAATCAGCATCTATTTTAGTTGACACTGGCGACAAGCATCGATGTCTGGCCGTGTCCGACTAATTAGCAGCTCTACTTTGTTTTCCGTACTCCCGGAGCCATATAAAACCCAAATGAGGCGCAATAAACCACTTATTCGATCGCCAGCCGTTGGATAGCACTATGAGCTGTGAGGTGCACTACGATGCCGCTTCGCGGACCTGGTTCGGCCCGCGTGGCAAGGACTTCTATGGTCCGGAGATGACCCTGGGCGAGGTCATCATGCGCGTGCTGCAGATCTACGCCGATCAGGTGATTCAAACCTGCGATACCACGGGTCAGGAGCTCACCGGTGCCCAGCTGGCTCAGCTGAGTGCCCGCATCGCACAGGCCTTCAAGAGATTGGGACTGCGGAGGGGCGATGTCGTTGGTATATCGGCCAATAACTCGACGTATCTAACCAGTGTGATAATTGCGGCTCTGCTCCGCGGCGTGCCCATCAATCCACTGCATCCGGAGTTTACTGAAGGTAAGGCCAAAGGGCTCCCAAAGTTGAGATGTATTTCATGTTCTTCAATTCCCTTGCAGAGACTGTCAAATACATGTATGACATTACCGAGCCTAAGCTAATCTTTTGCGATATAGAGAACTACCATGTAATAAAGTCGGTCAATGGGAGATTAAGAAACCCAGCCAGGATTTATCTGGTCAATGGAAAATTAGAGGGAGTGCTGGATATAAGCGTGCTGCTAAATGACGATGATTGCATTGCAGCAGCCGCGTAAGTTTCTGTGTATTTCGTGATGCACTAAATCAATGCTAATTGATATTCCTTATCTTAGGTACGTACCTTGTCCAAAACTACATGGCGATCACACCGCATTCATTGTGTGCTCCTCGGGCACTACGGGAATGCCAAAAGGCGTTACCCGATCCCATCGCAGTTTGCTCTGCAATTGCAAAAAGTATGTATTCGTTCAGTTACCACCGTCAAGCAAAATATTATCCATGATTTGGAATGCTTTGTGACATACCTTTATGGATGGTGATCCGATTACGATGTCTAATTATTATTAATATTCGCAATTGCATTACAGTCCGAACACCTACACCAGGGATAGCGTGCTGCTGTCGTTCAGTCCCCTCTACTGGATATCGGGAACCATAATTCTGCTGGCCTCACTCCTCAACGGCTGCCGTCGGATAATCACTAGTCGGCCATACAGTGTGGAGTACCTCCTCCAACTGGTGGCCAGTCACAAGGTGACCTTCCTGTTCCTGGCCTCCCATCAGATTGCACTGCTCTCCAAACATGACAGTGATGTGATGGAACTGAGGGCCCAGCTCCAGTCCATTCGGGTGCTGATTGGAGCTGGATCCAAAGTGTGTAAGGCGGTGTCTCGCAGAATGTACGAGTTGATTGGTAACCAGAGATTCGTAGTGGGCTACGGCCTGTCTGAGATGGGAGGACTGACCAAAAACATGGGTGGACCAGTGGGTTGCGAGGGCAAGGTCATGCGAAATGTGGAGCTGAGGGTGCTGGACAAACTGAAGATGCCACTCGGCATCAATGAAGTGGGCATCATCTACGCCCGTCTGCGTTTCAAGTGGGAGGGTTACTACCGAAACCCGGAGGCCACGAGGAGAGCCCTCAGCTCGGACGGATTGTGGTTCCGCACGGGGGACATCGGTTACCTTGACAGCGAGGGCTACCTGTACATCCAGACCCGTGACACCGATGTCTTCAAGTTCAACAACTTCCAGATCTATCCCGAGCAGATCGAGGAGTTCATCCTGCGGTTGCCCGGCGTGAGTGAGGCCTGTGTCTTCGGCATTCCCGACGAAGTGTCTACCAATCTCACTGCCTGCGCCGTGGTCCGCACCAAAAGTCCGGAGGGGGAGCGCCTTGCGGCGGATCACATCCGAAGCATTGTAGAACGCAACTTGAGCGGAGCCTACCACATCCGGGGAGGTGTGTATTTCATAGACAGTCTGCCAAAAACACCCAATGATAAGCTGCAGAGGCGCAAGGTCCTGGCCCTCGTAAAGCAGCTCGAAATTGAAGCTCAATAAAACATGGTTATCACTTGTTTTTAAGTGCTTCGGTTAACTCAAAATCACGTAATGGCTTCCTTGATATAAAACTTTAAAAGCATTTTATATTTGTGTGCATTTTCTAGATTGTACTCTGTACTCTCAACATCGATCCACTGTGCTTGCTTAGAGGCTGCTGGCCAACTAATGTCGGCAACTCAATGAATTCCAATCGAGATTCAAATTGTAAAAGCCCTGTCTAAAAGGCTCTCGAGGAAGGGGACTTGGACTTGGACTCGGCAGGTGTATGGGGGAGATAGTGGGTCCCATTGGCAATGCCAATGACAAGCAATTTGTTATTTGTGGCACCCCTGCGGCTGCGACTCCAGTTGCAGGGGCGTAAAAACATCGACTCGGTCAGATATTCAACATAAAATGAATTGAAAAATTAAAATTGCAATATGCATGGGGCAATGGGCGGTGGGCAGTGGGCAGTGGGCAATGGGGTGATGGACAAAACATACATATTTTATTGGTTTCTGTTTCTGTTTGGGGTTTTTAGGACTTTTGGAATCGAAGCCAGTCTGCACATTTTCGACATTTGACAAATTCCGAAATGAAATGCTCGACAAAACACGATTCAATTTGCCTTTGCCCCTTCCACACGAGTTACAGAAACAGCGTAGTAGGACCAGTTAGGGGCGGAGGGGAACTAAGCCATATAGCCACATGGTCCTGTCGGATCGGATCGGATCGGGTGGGTTTTGGCCTCCTGGTCCGGTCTCATTCCGAGTCCGAGTACGAAGCCGAATCCGAGTCTGTGGCCGTCTGCATCCTGCAACTAATGCGGATTATCCCGGGGCTTTGCAAACTGCACCCAAGGTGTAAATTTGTGTGCCAGGGATTTGCATGACCAACGAATAACTGAATGAATCAAGGCAAGAGTAAGTCGGTGAGTGAATGAATGGGTAAGTGAATGGACGCGCTAAGGGCAAGTGAGTTGCTTAACTATTTCCGCTTAGGGGATAAAGCAAAGGAGGTCAGCATCCCTGTCTTCTAAGCCTCTTTCGTTGCCTGATTTCGGAGGATTCGGCTCTTCTGGAATTCCACAAACCACACGTAACTAGAACATAAACGATTTACATAAATTAAGTGCAGTACTCCAGCTGTGTATCCCATTTCCTAATTTAAGAAGTGGAAAAAGATTAGCTTGGCTAAATCTATCAGTTGACATAAAGAAGTGGTGTTCGATTGGAAATGCTTTTCTCTGCCAGAGATAGCAGTCAAATTCTACCCATTTAAAGGTACCAAATATTTCAATGACAATTGCTAGGCAACTGCAACCGCAGTGGCGAATGCATTTAACCATCGGGTAAACATGGCAAAAATGTGCATTGTAATATGCAGCACATTTTATTTGCCTTTTGCACTTGGCAAACAGTGCCATGAAACAAAAAGCTGAAATCTATGTTTTAAATTTTCATCAAGGAAACGTGCAGCATATGGAAATATGCAAACAGTAGCAACCACATAACAAACAATAACTGTACAGAAAGTGCAACAACACCAACCCGCTCAAAACCCACTCCGTTCGACCGAGCTCGGAATTTAGATAAGTTTGTTCCCTCTCCACGCTGGCTGGTAATCAAACACACATTTTCGGTGTTGGCCAGGGTGGATCTACAAAGGGCGAGCCACGCTCACGGGATATCCCGCATATGTCCTGCGCCACCGAACATGTCCTGTGCCTCGATCGCCGAACTCTCGCACATCTGCCGTGCGTTGATTTCGCCTCCTCGGAGGGTTGAAATGTTTGCCCAGCTCACAGTGGTGGCAACTATTGGTGGCACACAGCAGTTGGGCAAAGGGCCGTTACTTTCGTTGCCACTCACTGTGCACCTGGCCTATGGGAGTTGGGAAGTCTACGGGCACAAGCCTTACGTCGCTGCAAATGAAATTAAAAACTTGTTTTTATCATGTTGATTGGATGGTGTGATAACAATGTATTTCGGAGCAATTACGACTGATCAGCTATGAGTATGCAGTTCCATTCCTAGAGAACTCTAAGAGCAAATTTAATGTTTTAAAGCTGCCCTGTTTACCTACACTAAAATTTGACACCACCGAAGTTGCGCCTGACACGTGCAACAGCGCCTAGAAAACCACAGTAGGTGTGCTCGGGATATGGGTGGATGCATTGCAAATGCTCTGCGGTGGGGTAATATTTAACTAAGTTAGCACAGCTCAGAGGTCCGACTCAGGGGCCACATTCAAATCAACTTCGGGTCCATGCAATTTTTATGCCCCGCCCATTTTTACTCACCACCCACCGCCCAAATCCCGGCGATGGGCCTACACGTGCATCTGAGTTGTGGTCGCTCACCGGGCAGGATTCCCCGAAGTCCGAGTGGCCCAAGTGTGGGATGTGTCGTCCTGCCGCTGGTCAGGGACATCGCGCCCATGTTTGTCGGTTAATAAAATGTGTGCTTGTGTGCCTTGCGGTTGCCTATGCCTCTGCCCCTGCCACGCCCACACTGCGCATACATTAGCCGCCCTTTGTGGAGCATTCTTATGCCATTTCCCGGTGTCGACCTGCGGCGGCTGCTGCCTTTATCTGCTCAATGCGCTCGAGCGTGCCCCGGCTGCCAATGAGGCATAAATTCTTGATTTCACGCAGTTTTGATTGATGGCAGAGGATGTGTGAAAAATACCCCCCACACAGTAAGAAAAGGAGGAAGTGGTAATTTTTGCAATATTATATCAATAAAGAATTGTATATTACAGATGGTTACTATGGTAGTGCTTTAATGAAGTGCTATTTTTGCGAAATGTAACAACATTTTCACTTGTCATTGCTTAAAAGTTTTCTGTGCATATAGGGGGAGCCAGTGAAAGATGCTGGCTCGGAAGTTGAGGGCTT